GCAATTTTCTAAACGAGCCCGAAATTTCGGTTGGGTACGCACTACATTCTTTCTCTCCCCAACCTCCAACTACGATTCCTTTGGACAATACCGTTCCTTCCAGTCTGATTTCGCCCGCATTTTGTGCTGACCTGTGAGGCCGAATACGAAGATCTGGCCCTTTCCAAATGAAACCGGAATTTCGAAGAGGTACGCATTGAATCACTTCTCTATCTTCATCTCCTACTGGGGTTTCTCTAAAGAACCGCTCCTTCAAGAACTGGGTTTGTCCGCATCACATGCTCTCCTGTGTGCTGAGGTGAGCAGAGGAAACGCCGCACTCCGCAAACTCGACGTTCGATGTGAGCAGATCCCAGATTCTATAGTTTTTAGATGAGCCCGAAATTTCGGTTAGGTATGCGTTACATAATTACTCTCTCCCAAACTCCAACAACAATTTCTTTCGAGAACACCCTTCCTTCCAGGTCTGATTGCGCCCGTATTTTGCCCCGACCTTCTAGGTGAGGCGAGGTGAGGAAATGCCGCTCTCCGCCGTGCCGACAGCTGTTTGCGTCCACACTACATGCTGCCCACTGAGGTGAGGTGAGGTGAGGAAATGCCGCTCTCCGCTGACTCAACAATTCTTCGCTTCCACACTACATGCTGTCTTACGAGGTGAGGTGAGGTGAGGAAACGCCGCTCTCCGCTGACTCAACAATTCTTCGCTTCCACACTACATGCTGTCTTACGAGGTGAGATGAGGTGAGGGAATGCCGCTCCCAGCAAGCACGACCAATGCAAGATGAGGCCAAGTATGCAGTCTGACCCTTTTCGAACGAAACTGGAATTTCGAAGAGGTACGCACTGAATTAAATACTTCTCTATCCTCATCTCCTAATCATGCTCTTCTCTCAACTCCAAATCTGTTTTACTATGAGAACCCCATCACTGTATAAAGGAAACCCTGATAAGGATATAAATTCGCTGCTCTGCTAGGATTGATGCAGCGAGTTCCTCTTCGATCAGACCACTACGACTACCACTGATCCCCTGTTTTCAGATTGTTACAATATCCCGGAATAATGGATTTTTGCTTTAAGAAAGGCAAGCAATGACTAAGAAAGAGTGATCTGGGTTTTGGGTACTCTCAGGTGTGTTTTGCAGTCTTTTCTTCTCCCATATAATATCTATTCATTTGCCAAACTTTTACCGTCGTACCGTCGTTGATTTTGCCTTTTTCTAAAACTGCTTCCACCGCTGCACCGCAGAATGTTGTGTTATCAGTGCCGGATTATTCCAATTGCATGGAATTTCACGGAGGTATGCTTCCTTAGCCCACCTGTTTTTTTTTTCTCTGAATAATCGCCTTCGTGATATTATACAATGTTCTATCCCGACACAGCGCAGATGGCTTACAGAAAAAATCGCTCGCAAATCAGCGCTTATACTACGGTTTAGAGCTTTCAAAGAAAAAGGAGAATTTGAAGTGTTATTTACGCATAACAAATTTTCCACAGAAAGGAGTAGCGCCCGGCGAAGCCGGGCGTCACCATAAGAAGGAGAGAAGCCCGGCGTTAGCCGGGCGGCCCGACTGGTACACAATAATAGAATAATACACAACAACTTTAACGCCTACACAGTAAAACTATACGAAAACTTCGACATCGTGTGCAAACCCTACTTCGTTAGCTGCAGCCCTCCATTAGAACGTCATTTTCTATAGAAACAATAACGAATAGTCGAAGAAAGTTTAAAAATTTTAGCCTCTCTAGTGAGGTAAATAGAGCCATTTGTGTATTTATTAGCAAAGAACAGAAAAGTGCCTACCTTTGAATGGCTGCGTAAAAATATGTTGTAAATCGAAGCTGACAGCAAAAACGGAAACGTCATCTCCAACAGCGATCGCTAACCACTTCTCATTGCTATCAGAGAAAACAGAAGGCGCCACACATTCACTTGCAGGGTCTTCATTTTCAGTGTTATCAAAATCGCCTTAAATAGTATCCATGGTAATCAGCAGAATTAGTATCCAACTACAATTCCGAAAACTTGTCCCACCAGAGATTGTAGCCAATGTTTTGATTTCATATAGGCTAGTCAAACTGACGAACTCATCACGCTTGCCAAAGTTCTTCGTTTCTTCGTCCCCGAAATCCGTTTCCACTACAGAATACCGCATCTAAAAACCGTATTCGAGCGCTTAAAGATGAACATCAGAAATAACCTTCACTAAACCATGCAACGGACGGAAAAACAATGAAAAGTAACGATCGAACGGTTCGAAACTTTTAAAATGAACTTGTTGGCGCGGGAATTGCTCTGCTCGAATGGAGCGCGCTATAGACTCTTCCACCTGCAAAAAGGAACCTTTTTTATACCCCTCTCTGTTCCCGCCAGATCAATCGCTCGCTGCCTCAG